TGCTTAACCACCAATGGGAATATCAACTTGCTTTGCAAGTGCAAGCGAACGTTAACAGACCCCACCCCATCCCCACCCCACCCCATCCCCAACGTAGTATCAACTTGGTTAATGGTGAAAACGTTGAAATTCTCCGGGGTCGTTAGGGGGGGCGTGAGCAAAAACAAACATGGATGCTCTTCCTTGGAACTGCGATCCCGGCACCAAGGACCGGGGCGCTCCGGGCATCTGCCGGTCGAACTCCCAGGGCTCCTTGTCTCCTTCAGCAACCCTAAAGTCGAAGCTGTTCAGAGATTCACCGTGCTTCACCTGTTCTTCTCTTTGAGTGATGCTTCAAAACGACACCATGCTTGTGGCTCAAAAACCAGGAGACCCCTGTAGTTGACCGCCGATTTTATAGATAGAATTGACCACCAAGCAGGTCCTACTTTGGTTTGGGATTCAAATTCCGGTCGGGGATGATAATCCTACCAAACAAACTTCCACTCTCCCATTCTTTCACTGAGGCGTACCGCTTTGCCTGCGCTGCCGCTGTGGCGGGTGCAGGCGAAGCTTCACCCGATGGAAGCGTGGAAGCCTGCGCCGAGCCAATGTGATTGATCAAAGACTCCAAGGGACATGGATGTGCTGTCCAGGAACTTTGAAACATATTCATTCTCCAGGTCTGCAGGTCGGGGGAATTACCCAGGAACCGAGACAATCAACTATATATATATATGTATATATTTGATTACAATATACATCATTATACATATAAATACTACGTAGGACGGGAACATGAAGGAAAACCAGGACGGGACATGAAGGAACTTTGGAATGAGTACAGATGGATGCCCCAACGGAACCTCCAAGACCAGGTTCACGAGAGGACTGGCGAGTCAAGCAGCGGGGACTTTTCTTCCCAAAAAACTACAGTAAAAATTATACAATCCTCGGCGTGTTTTTTCCATCCAAGGGCATGGTTCATAATATGTTTTGATAGGGATCCACGTCGCCACCCTCGGCACCAGGTGATGTGTTCGACTCTTAAGAATGTAGGCGCCAGGAGGGTCCAATCACCTTCTCAAAGGGTATGTGGATCCGGATTCCACAAGAGTCGTCCATCTTCGCTCCTGAGAGGCGGAAACGGGTCATCCGAAGCCATGCCATCCAGGCCATCCATGATTTCAGGGAGCTCGTTGCTTCGCTACGATGGGTTTTCATGATCGTTTCATCCCGATTTTTTCGATCGATTTCCCGGCCTCCGTCGGAGCTTCCGTGATCGCGTGGTCTGCGGTGATCGCGCTCGGCGTGCTTTCGGTGATCGCCTGCGAGGGTCGGCGAAAAGTCTTTGCAAAAAGATGAACGAGGTGGCGACCATGAACCAACACTTCCAACCCTAGTAATCCAGTCGTACCTTTTCTCAAAAGGTACTTAGTACTTGGACCCTCCAAACCTACATACAAGTGTCGAACACATCACTTTCTGAGAAGATAATTGCTTGGATCTCTAGGGCAAAAGCCCACCCATTTGGATCAATATTGTCAATTGTAGGGAGGAAGGTCCCCAAAAAAGGATCCGAAAGATACTGACGGCCAGAACTTTCCTCAAAATGGTAGGCATTTCAAGCACGTCCACCGTTCTTGTGCAGCTTCATCTTTTTTGAACATCAGCTCATTGTTCTTCAACGACCGGCAAGGATGGACCTCTAATGAAGCCAGCAACCTGTGTACTGTCGTGTCTGCAATTTCTGGCGTCTGGCTGGACCCGATATAATTACCCTAGACTTCCAAGACCATTAAACAAATAGTTGACCTGCTGTTTGTAGAGTAAAATCCTTAGTTGATTCGCCTATGACACTCCTCCTTAGCACTTCTCGCAAGCTTCGCCTCGTCCACGGGCTTCAGTGCACTGGCTTCAGCTGGTCTGGGCTCACCTGAGTGGAAAAGAAACCACTCACTCCCAATACTGGGGTGACTCGCAGGCATTCCAACCCCATCTGGAAGAAAGAACATTGACCACCGCCCATTGGCTGGGGGAGACCTAAGATGCACACCCAAATGGTTGCTCCAATGTGGCACCAGCTTGAGATCCAGAAAAATAGGAAGTGGCGATAAGTGGCGTATTGACCGGGCGTTCCATCCAGAACTGCTTCCCTCTATCGGTATACCCCCACAATGTTGATGTGCCGCCCAAGCACCAACCGTGGTCGATGTCGGTGGTGCATCCAGATCCAGAGCGGAGACCTCAAAGATGTGAAGAGCCGATAAAAGATGGAGGATTGGTCCCTCATATCAAGATTGACTATGATAAAAAATAGGTATCCTCAAAGATCAAAGATATATATATATATAATATACTATATCAAAGTAATGGGATTCTATGGGATTCTATGCGACTGCCCAGGCGCGACCCCGGACCCGAACCCTCTGGAGGGATTGGTCCCGAATCCTCTGGAGGGGTCTGGGTTGGTTGGTTTGGTTGGTTTGGTTTAAGGTTTTGAGGGACCAGTCAGCCTGTTTGGAGCGTCTGGGTGGAACATGGGACTTGTCGACTTTACCTTTGAAGTGGTTGTGAGGTGCGATGGGGTCGTGTCGTGCTTTTTTGGGGGTGGAAAAGTGAAGGGATCAGGATCTAGTCCCCCAAAAAACGCCTCGGCATGGAGGCCAGGGCATATTGACAAACCTTAAAGGATCCACATACTCTCTGAGAAGGTGATGTCTTCGACACTTTGCAGCTTTGGCGACGTTTGGAGGGACCTTCCAAGGAGCCGAGAAGAAATATAACATATTCCCCTGAACATGATTTACCCATAAAAGGGAGTGAATCACAAATCACCAGAATGTACTGTAGGTGGATGCTTACTTCCTACATCTGAGTGGTTTTGACCAGCGGGTCCATGCAGGTGAGTGTCTTCCAGTCCCATGGAGTGTCTGACATCCATGTCAGGAACCGGAACACGGCACCTGACACCCCGAGCTCTGTGACTCCATGGATTCGCCCAGGTTCCCGGAGGCGAAGATGTTTTCCTATAGGGTTCCTGGCCCATAACCCTCAGCTTCGGTGGTTAGACCCCCCTGGCACCCACCCCTGGCCCACCGAACCGAAACGGAGGTAGGGGTAGATGCTTGGATCCAGTGGTGAGCATTTTGCTGCCGATGGCTCACCCGTCGTTCGTCGTCATGCTACCCTTCACGCCGAAAGGACAATTATAGATCTATAGTAATCAACTTGTGATTCTATGCATGATATATGCATGATGATTCATCATTATAAATTATACCCCAATATCTAGTCCATTCTTCTTGGTTAAACAAAAACAACAGGCCGTATACCAACCTCAGGAGAGTCGCCATGGATGGCGACTCCCACCCTCATCCACTCTCCACCGCGGCCTCGAGTCCGTGGATTGCCAGGGGCGCTTGCTTCGGGGTGGTCTCGGGGTGGTGATAGTGGTGCACCTCACCCGAACCATCAAAGGGAGCGAGGGCAAAACGCCCAAAGGCGTGGCGTTTCGGATGAGGGGGAGGCGTTTTGTTGGGGGGATGAGGAAAGGTTAACCCTATAGGATGCAAACAACCATGGTTTTAATGGTCTTTACCAAAGAACCTTTTGTTTTACTAAGGATTTTTACATTACACCACCAGCTCAACCGTTCAATGGTCGAACTGAAGGCCATAGGGTTAAATGGGCTGGAAGACCCTGAACTCATCCGAACCGAACCCCCCGAAGTTGGAAACGAAACGTCCGGTGAAACCGGGTGTTTCACCACGTGGTGATCGGTGATGGCGTCATGGCCTGCAGGATCGGATCCGACCTCAGCCGGATGACCTTGATAATCCTTCCCTAGGGATCCAAGTACCTCCTCAAAAGGTACTTGGACCCTCCAAACCCATCCCAAAGGCCTTCTCAAAGGGTACTTGGATCTTTTGGGCTTGATCGGTGGGAACGTGTTTGAACCATGTACTTTGCATGGGCGGCCCGGTCTTTGTCGTCTCACTTGGGCTCACCTGCAATCACCGACTTGGCCATTTAGGATGCCTTGACCCTGAAAAAGAAGGAGCATGACAAGTAGACTAACCTAGACCATGGGCTTCAAACGCATCAGTCCCCCACCTGGCAGTGCCTCCAACTACCTCCTTGTTTCAATGCTTCGTAGACGCATGAAAATAGGTTGACATCCCAATGGATCGTACCGCCCAAAACCCCCATTTTGGAGCCCGAAAAGTGGACCGCCAAGCCGCCAACTCCCGAGAGCTCAGCTCGGTCCGACCGCCTGGTTCGTGCCGCGCGTTCCCCGGGCATTCGCACGTCGTCCGGGTCCTCCGAAAAGCTCACGCGGCCACTGGTGAGGCGGCTCCCACCCGCTCGGGCGTCTGGCCGCGGGCGACCCAAAGGAGAAGGGAACGAAAGGGACCGGAAACATGGATGTGGATGCGATGGTGCCTGGAAATCTCATCCCAACCAGAAGCAGTTCTTTTCCAATATGGTCTGCTTGAGAATGCTTGAGATCCTTTACATATGACAAATAATTGGGATTGTGGGGTACATCCATATCAACTGGCGCGGCTGAAGCAGGACCCGAGAAAATCCGCTGGCTGGGCCCACCAGATCATTATGCTGCCACAGCCGTCGCCCTTACCTTAAGCAATTTATACATGCAAAACTTTGCTACGTGGGAATGGTTTCAGATGGTTTCAGGGTTCAATGTCCAATGTAAATCATTTTTTTGCGTCACCCGCGGTCGTGCGAATCCAAGCTGATTCCCTATAGCTGCTATGTACACGCAGGTCTCGAAGGCGCCGGTCTCGAAGGCGGTTTCGACCTGCCAAGGGTGGGTTAAGAAGGCTGACATGTTGACGGACGGCATAAACCAATGCCCTTACGATCCTTAAAGGGTCTTGGCAACACATCTGGAATTGATTGTTTGGGTATGGGGCATTGACTCGGAACCCTCTGGCGAACCAATGCAGAGACCTTTGTTTCAACGAATCGTTCGTCTTGCAAATGGGCGCGGAGCCTCATTGGAAGCTCGGGTCCGACATGAAGTTGGGGACGTGCGTGATGGCCTTCAGCAAGGCCAAAAAAAACGTTCTGAAGTTGTTTACATGTGACATAGAGGCTCAGCAATTGCCAGCAACGAATGTATGGGAATCGGCACCCCACTATACTTCACTCAAGAACTTTGCAATCACCATGATACTTCCATATTCCCTCATTCGCGCACTTGTTCGCTTGGCCTTATCGACTGACAGGCCCATGAAGTCGGTGCGTGCTTCAATTTCTCGCTCGGCGCCATTCTCTCGAATGAGGACCTGAGGAACACCAAGCACCTCAGGACCTCAGCCCTTGGCTGTGGGAGAAAAAGCAGTCTGTCACAAGCTCCCCAACATCAATCACGCGCAAAAGCGGTTTGATACAATCCAAAACTCTGCGTCCTACACCCACGGACTCAAGACCAAAGGATGTTCCGGCATCTATCACAGTACTTTATGAAGAAGGTCAAAGACAAAAGCCAAAGCAGAGGGAGGGAGAAAAAGAGAGAGAGAGAGAGGGGGAGAGAGAGAGAGAGGCGCACCAACCAAGAAAGCGAGCGATCTCGGGCAAGCTGGAAAGAGGACATGCTCGATGGCGCCTTCCATACATCCAAAGCTTGCAGTCCTGCTTGACATCTCAGTTGCCAATCCCAGGTTCCCTCCAACAGATTCGGCGCGTCACGTGAGTTAGCGTCCGAAAAAAGCGGCAGTCGTTGCTATAAGAGGTTACCCCGTATTGCATTTGATCGACAATCGAAGAATACGACGTGGAGCTTTTGCAGCAGCGCCTTCTCACAAGGTATGGGTATAGGTCAACTCAAGAATCATTGTAAGCTCACCCAAACCTCCCCAGCCAGCTGACCAAAATGACAGAAAGCAGCTTGCCCCGATCAGCTCCAGGCCAAGGTGTCTTGCCCACCATTCGTGATGGTCAGATTCCCTATAAAAGCCCTATTATTCATTCATTGATCGCCCAGGATTTGGACAAGGCCCTTAATAGTCCAGAGGTTCCACTTTCTCAGGTTGAGCAAACCAAGCCCATCAATGGCTCCGGCATCCGGCTATATATTTCACCTGGCCGAATGGCCCATGGATTTCGGCCAGCTTCGGTCTATAGACGTCTTGCCAAGCGATTCTGGAATCGTTTTGACCTCTGGATGATGCGCAATCCAAAAGTATATACCTGAAGCCACAACCAAACTTTGAAATGATTTATGGACATTTGACGGGCATTCGCCATGTTTTTGGGATGGCAGAATGATTGAAAAGGGCTTGGCAGCTTGCTCAGTTCGAGTCACGTCAAGACACCCTGCAAGTCTCAAAAACAATACATCCACGTCCTGAAAAGCTCAGACAAAGCCGGCGCCACCCGAAATGGGTGGTTATTAGATGGAAAATAAAACATTAACATACAACTTGAGGGAGTCCATCTAATCATCCGAACTGGTGCTGGAGTCGTGATTTTGTATGATGAACTCCAGTTAAAAAAGGGGGTTCAACTCCTGACCTGTAGGAGCATAGACCATCATCTTTCGAAAAATCGCTCGGTCACTCAAGTCGATTCGAAGACTAAGCGGAAGCACGGGTCAAAGAGGTTGGACTCTGGCGGTGTGGGTACGCACCTGGCCGAACTGGCCGACATGAAGATATGTATATATGTATATATATATATCCAAACATGCCTCCCAAACCCAAACGGCACATGCAAATGTTTGCGACAAATGGACAAAATTGTTTCTACATTTTTGGGGGGAACAGATTTGGAGACAAACCATGTCATGAGTGACAGCGTGGGGCTCAGAAGTGACGGGGTTGGGGATATGCATTTGCATACCAGTTGCCACCAGCCCCCTGCAGCGAATGCATCTTAAATTATGTTGGGTTGGGTGGTTCGGGAAGCCGCACTTCCACGATTGCTTCAGCGTATCACCAGGCTTTCCTTCGGCCGTATGGATACAAGGGTTCAAAGCCGTGCTCAGCAGAAGAAACATGAAAACACATCCTCAACAAAGGCGGCGTCATGATAGATGGAAAATGAGCCAGTCGATCTTCAGCCGTCTCTCCAGTGTTCTGCGCCCAAACACTCCATGTATGACAGACATATACCTACACGCGAAAATGTTTAACGGTATGAATATATGTACAATCTCAGGTCGCACGAACCGCTAGAATTGCGAGATAGCTCATTAAGCTTTAGCTTGGGGGGTGGCCTTTTTTGCCCTAGAATGTTGCCCTCCACCTCAAAAGGACCAGTTTTACGAGGTCCTGCTGTAAACGACCCAGTTTTACGAGGTCACATTTTCTTTGACCTTCGAAAACTTTCAGGTCACCATTTCCACGGAAGATTCTTTGGGCATTAAGGTCACCACTTCCACAAAAGATTCTTTGGGCACTAAGGTCATTTCCATGGAACATTCTTTTGGGTTCGATGGTCCTTATACATACATCTGTGCATGCATACCGGAGACATGGTATCCATACGTCCACTTTTAGCGGCGCCATGCCTTACGCAAGTCCACGCGTGCCAATCTTTTCTTGGTGTATTTGTTTGGCGCACGTTGTTTGCTCAATTGACCAATTACATTGCCATGATATACGTGGCTACGTGGGAGCGTGCATTGTTCAAGCCGATGACAGTTCATCGTCAAATCGCATTAGAAGCTTGCAGGTCCCATGCTATAGAATCATGCTAGAGTCACGCCCAATGATGTCCATGGCGAAGTTTTTGATGTCCTTTACTATAAGTCAAGGATGCCAATACTTCGTGGTTTAGGTGGGAGTCACGCGAGAGTCACGGTAGAGTCACGGTCCCATGCCCGGGCCAGAAACGCCGAATTTCAACTACATTGTAACGCATCGACCTTGCTTCATATCAAAAAGATCTAGCAGCCTGGGCGCCACTTATATGATATATGCATGCGCCTGTTGCCACACATATTTTGTCTGTGCGATGTTCGCGCGAAATGGAAAGTAGAGCAAAACGCACCTGGAAAGCCATTGGTGCTACATGTTGAATCACAATCATCGTGCCAGGTATATGTGCACCATATATGCATAAAGTAAAAGACGTGTTTTACTTTTACCATTTGCCAAATAAAAAACGTGTTTCACTAAATAAAAGACATCTTTTACTTCTTATAGTTGCCAAAGTAAATGACGTCCTTTACGGAGTAAAGTCGGGCTTTCCACCATTTCCACGAAAAGTTTTTGGAGGTCGAATTTCGCTATCAGCTTTGCAGAAAATAGAGCCCAGTAAAACGAGGCCTTTGATTTGGAGGGTTGTGTTTTTGTCTTTTAAAGCCGACAAAAAATGAGGAAAGCGTTGGCGATGTCGGCTATGCTGCCCGAGTGCACTATTGACATCGTCCGTGCTTGCCGCTGCAGCCTTCCCGAAAGAGAAAGGAAAAGACTATATATTGATCATGTGAGTGGCGTCATTGCAAGCGTGTGCGTGTTAGCACCTGCGGATACCAATACTGGCATCCCAAATTCTTCGCTCTGCTGAACCTACACATATGTTAATCCTAAACTCAAACTTGCCTACTTGCAACTGCCCCTGCATTCCACTCTTGCACCTCGTTGTTTCCATGACCATCTTTTCCTCACGGTACACTTCTTCTGACCCTTTGAGCCCTGCATCGTTATTCTTTCCCTGCTCAGAGAGCACAACTATCCGTGCGGGTAGTCTTCGCCGCAAAGCGGTGTGAATGCGCTCGTCCACTCGTCCCAGGTCGTCTCTGCCATCCGCTGTCCATCTGTGCTCGTCCCACCCTGGAAGCCCGGAAACGACCATGGTTAAAGATGGGAATGAGGTGTTGTAGTGTCAAACCTTGGCTGTTTCGGGATGACCCGGCTATTCCAATGGTGGGCCACGACTTGTTTTGATGACCCCGCTCGGACCCCGCTCGTCTCGGTCGAACAATCTCGACACGTTCCAAATGGACGGCCCGAAAGAGACCGCGGCCCGAAGCTGTTCTACAGCAAGAATGTGTGGGGTTACATCACAGGCAAATACAAGTACATGATTGTATAAGCTCAATAATGCTATACTATAATATTTAATTACGTATTGATATCTTATATATGTAAAGCTTCTCAAAAAGCATGGGCTCAGTCTGATCCTATCTTCCGCCGGCTATAGTCCGAACTCCTCCGCCGTCTCCACCGGGCGGCTCGATAGGTGCCCTGCGCGTTGGCGAAGCGCGTCTTGGCCGGCAATTGTCCTGAGACGCGGAAGGCGTCGCCAGCAGCCAGTGCGCGGCGGCGGTGCTTGTAGATGCCTGACCGGCTGGAAGGTTGAGATGTGGGAGGTGGAAAAAGGAACGGACGAGAAATCAACAGGAGGTCATTGGTTCTGAAAGCGCCATAGTTGCGCGTGAAATATATATATATATTCTGTTTGAAGTCGGTTTGAGATGATATGAGTATGAATATGATTAGAGATGATCGTGGGTGCGTTCAGAATCATTCCGAAAGCAAGGCTTCTGATTCTTACAGATGGGAGATGATCAAAGGGGGGTTTCAAATCATTAAACCTCTTAGACCCTTGCGAAGTGAATAGAGATGATGAGAGACCTGAACTGGACACTGGCGAAGTGAAGCGTGGTGTCATGCACTGGGCAACCACAATGGGATGATCCTAAGAGTACCAACAAAGCACTTCAGTCACAGGGTCATTCCAGAATTGAAACATCGCAACCGATTCGGAGGGAGCTAAGGCTCTACAGAGCTGCGGTGATCCACCTTCTCTTTCCACCAAGAGCCGGCTCTTATAAGCGGGAGTCCCCGTTCACCGCTTGTTTGAAATCTGCCGTAGCATCTTTGACCATCTGTGAGTACGTACGAAACCAGGGCCGGCAGCAGGACATCCGAGAAACGAATGGTCCTGTACCCCGAGGGGTCGGTAAACAAACCTTGAAATGCTAACGTGGAGCAACCACGGGACTCATGAAATAAACTCAACCAAAATCGTGTTATATTGTTTACCGACTGTTACAGGTAATGGGACACCTCCAAGCTATCGCTCAACCTCATATACAAATCATTCCAAAACGTACACGACCGCCAGCTGGTATACACTGCAGGCATCTCGCCTTCCATACCTCCGTCTCCCTCATTCCCTCTTGCCCCGAAGCATGCCCCGTCAATAATTGAAGTCAACAGGTTTTCACCAAGTCGTTTACTTGAATTTGCTGGTTTCGGAAGCCGGGCAATACAACACCCAAACAGTCCATGGGACTGCCATATATATATATATATATACGCGTATCCCTACGAATCCCGGCCTTAACTAACAACCAGGGGAACCGGGTCAGGACCTCCCGCTGCGTTTCGAAGGTCCGGACACCGAGGGCCCAAACTCGGATTTTTAGGCGCAGTCGTGAGCCTGATAGCTCAAAGTCCTCTGCAAAAGTCGAAGATTTCTCTGAGGGACCCCCAGGGACCAGCACCCCTCCAACATTTGCTTTTCGGACACCTCTTAACCTTTAAGAGGCTGTTTAAAGACACCTCTTGGAGGGTCCTGGTAGGGGCTGTGTTTTCACCTCACGGAGCGATTTGACGGGATGTCTGGCCTCCCACGCCATCGCCAGCCACAACAATCTCATGACGTTGTTCCTGGTCCACCACCTCCCACGAGTGGCCCAGCACTTCCTCGGAAGCTGATCTACCACAAACACGAGCAAACATGGGACTACCATACTTGCCGATCAGGCCAGGTGGTTTGGGAGGTCAATGTAGGCATATACCAAAGTGGGGTTCAAAGGTTTTGGGTGTTAGGGATTTGAAACCCTAAGGTCCAAAGCCAGGGCTTTGAAGCCCTAAAATTTTTAGGGGTTAGGGTTTTGAAACCCTAAGGTCCAAAGCCAGGCCTTTGAAACCCAAAGGTTTGTAGGGTCTTTAAATGAAAAGCTTGTATTGGAAAGATGCTGTGGGTAAAGATGTGTTTTGAAGAGCTTTGTTTGTAATAACTGGTGGTGGTTGTGGTTGCTGTGTGGTGTGTTTGGCATGCAACTGCCCTCCCAACCCAAGCTCACTCACACTTTTTTAGGGCCCCCACTGCAGGTGCAGTCTCCTGTGGTAGCTTCTTGGCACTGCCTCCAAGTTCCTACCCCTGTTGTTGGCCTTGTCCCCATCTCTGTGGTGGACATCCACATTATCTGGCAGCTGCCTCCCTAGTAAGTCTTGGAGGAGCTGCCTGTGAAACAATTCTTTGTAGCCACCACTGGCAATTGCACAGTGCTATATGGCCCTAATCGTGCCACTGGCAAGCACAGGGGCAGCCCCTCCCTGTCAGCCTTCACTGGAACCCCATCACCCCTGCATGTTAGCAGGTCCTCAGCAGAGCCCACCAAGGTCCAGTGTCCACTTTCTGGTTGCCCAGGCAACTTCCAGGCTTTCATGCTTTTCCAAACCAGTACCAAAATTCGGGTTTAGTACGGTATGTACGGGATAAATATGGGCTTAGTACGGGTTAAATATGGGTTTAGCACGGCTTAGAAAAACAAGACCCGAGGTTTTAAGAACAAACCTGAAATATTTGTGATTTCTCAAGAATACCCGAGCTTCCGATTGAGACCCCACGGTTTGGGTGCGTAGGGTAAATGGCATACATGGAGTGTTTGGGTATCTCAGACACGAGCAAACATGGGACTAGAAAGACCTCTCCAAACAAACTATGACTCACCTCATCGGCCAAGATGATATGGCAGTCCTCGTGCATATTTAGACATTGACCCCTCAAAATCATTCATTCGCAACTGATCCACATACCTTCTCAGAAGGTACGGTTGGACCCCCCAAACTTACATAAAATCGATCCTGAAAATGTGTCTGGTGGATTCATGGGGATAGGCAAGTCACCGGTGAGGATGCCAGTCCACTGATTGTCTGGCGCCCTGGCTATGCCCTGCTACCCCCTAAAAACCTTGGGGCTTCAAAGCCCTGGCTTTGGACCTTAGGGTTTCAAAACCCTAACCCCTAAAAACCTTAGGGTTTCAAAGCCCTGGCTTTAGACCTTAGCGTTTCAAGGCCCTGGCTTTGGACCTTAGGGCTTCAAAACCCTAACCCCTAACAACCTTAGGGTTTCAAAGCCCCTACAAATTTATAGGGTTTGGGTGCCTTTGGTATCTGCCTACATTGACCTCCCAAACCACCCCTAGCCTGATCGGCAAGTATGGTAGTCCCATGTTTGCTCGTGTTTGTGGTAAAGATCAGCTTCCGAGGAAGTGCTGGTCATGAGATGGTTCTGGCGGGCGATGGCGTGGGACGCCAGACATCCCGTCAAATCGCTCCGTGACAGGTGAAAACATAGCCCTACCAGGACCCTCCAAGAGGTGTCTATAAGCAGCCTCTTAAAGGTTAAGAGTGTCCAAAAACCAAATGTTGGAGGGTGCTGGTTAGCGTTCTGAGACCCTAAGGTCCAAAGCCAGGCATTTGAAATCCAAAGGTTTGTAGTAGGGTCTTTAGATGAAAAACTTGTATTGGAAAGATGCTGTGGGTAAAGGTAAAGATGTGTTTTGAAGAGCTTTGTTTGTAATAACTGGTGGTGGTTGTGGTTGCTGTGTGGTGTGTCTGACATGCAACTGCCCTCCCAACCCAAGCTCACTCACACTTTTTTAGGGCCTCCGCTGCAGGTGCAGTCTCCTGTGGTAGCTTCTTGGCACTGCCTCCAAGTTCCTGTTGTTGGCCTGGTCCCCATCTCTGTGGTGGACATCCACATTATCTGGCACCCTCCCTAGCAAGTCTTGGAGGAGCTGCCAGTGAAACAATTCTTTGTAGCCACCCTGGCAGTTGCACAGTGCTATATGGCCCTAATCGTGCCACTGGCAAGCACATGTTAGCAGGTCCTCAGCAGAGCCCACGAAGGTCCAGTGTCCAACTTCTGGTTGCCCAGGCAACTTCCAGGCTTTCATGCTTTTCCAAACCAGTAACCAGTACCAAAATTCGGGTTTAGTACGGGATGTACGGGATAAATATGGGCTTAGTGCGGGTTATGAGTTTAGCACGGCTTAGAAAAGCAACCCGCCGGGCTCGCTTCCGCGCGTGCGGTTGAAGACATTTGTAAAGTCTTCACGTGGTCAATGATGACGAATGTCCGGTGTGACTGTGTTTTGCATTGATGTGAAAGGTTTGTGGCAGCATGTAACATGAAAACAACTCAGCAGTCGTTGCGATTTTGACATCGAAGTGCTGCGAGACTGTGGTTTCGTGCGAAAAAAAAGCGCGCTTTTTCATCCTCCAGCATCATCAGTCTGTGGGACAAAACTTCTGACCAACTTCGTCAGAAGATCGTCCTTATTCTGGTGCCAGCGCCATCGCCACTGTCGAATGAACTTCATGATGTTTGGGTTTATACCGTCACCTTCACGTCAACGCAAGCTAGTGGGGACCGACTCAAGCATCTCAAGCATCTGACAATCCTCCGAACGGAAAAACTTCGGAATAAACAAGCAGTCGGTGACCACCTATCCAAGTTTCCATGCGTCGACGTCTAAAAAAATAACTGACACACCCCGACCACCTGTGCGTATCGACCCGTCTGTGTGTGTGTGTCTGGCTTTATCTTCGTGTGCACTGTGACTGCACTGAACATGCAACGTCTTTAGCCCAATTCCAATTCCATATTCCATATTCCAATGCGTGTGCTTGTGTGTGTGTTCTTGCCCCCCCAAAGGACTGAATGAAAACTCACTTTCACTACACGCGCGGTTTTAAGCCCATTAGCAAAAACAAGACCCGAGGTTTTAAGAACAAACCTGAAGTATTTGTGATTTCGCAAGAATACCCGAGGTTCCGATTGAGACCCTACAAATTTATAGGGTTTGGGTGCGTAGGGTATATGGCATACATGGAGTGTTTGGGTATCTCAGACACGAGCAAACATGGGACTGCCAGAAAGACCTCTCCAAACAAACTATGACCCACCTCATCGGCCAAGATGATATGGCAGTCCTCTGTGGTGCATATTTAGACATTGATCCCTCAAAAACATTCATTCCCTACTGATCCACATACCTTCTCAGAAGGTACGATTGGACCCTCCAAACCTACATATAGAAGATCCTGAAAATGTGTCTGGTGGGTTCATAGGGATAGGCAAGTCACCGGTGAGTGTGCCAGTCCCATGATTGTCTGGTGCCCTGGCTATGCCCTGCTACCTCTCTGCTGTGAAGCTTCTTCGGGACGGCTCTGGACCGGGTCTTGTTGTTCTTCCCACCCAGATGCTCCGTTCACAGGCCGACCAGGCCCTCATAGGGCCATAGGGATTTGAGGGTCCAAACCCCTCCAAGAGCGTCTGGGTCCGTTAGGAGGGGCCGTTAGGAGGGTCCTGGGCAAACGTTGCGTGAGTGAAAACAGCCCGTCGACGCGCCAGGGAGCAATCTCCGTGTCACGGGCGTTGTTGATCTGCACGTCATACTGGAAGTAGTACAGCCCGTCCTCGTTTCACGTCTGTGCAAGGAGAGAACCTCCAACAAAGATGATCCAACATGACTTGGGAATGGACCTCAGTCCTGGCTAGCTGGAAAGGAAGAATCAACCGACTTGAGTTGTGTAGAATTGTCTTCCATATGGACATCTATAAGTCGGAGGTAGTTACAATATTTTGGGTCGCAAGATGTATAGCATCGTTTAGCAAGCCATGCAGCAGTTGATGCTTAGACCAGTGAATCACTTACCCTACGGATCCACATACCTTCTTAGAAGGTAATTGGATACACTTTTGCATAGGCATGGAGGGTCCAGTCGTACCTTCAACAGAGAATGTACAACTGTATCCCTATATCTGCAGCACTGGTGCACCCATCACTCCCTGCCTTGGCCATGTGAAACTCGCCTCGCGCACCCAGGATCACCCGTTCCAAAGACAAAACGCTCGTCAGGGGAAGCAGTCCTGCAAAAAGCTGCTGTGGGCGGTGGATGGCTTTATCGTTTTATTGTTGGTGGGTGTGCGCATGATTCTGCATGGGTTTTTAATGGTTTTCCGTTGCCTTCTGCGCTTGAGTTCTATTTTAAGACTATAAGACTATAAGGCACATCGGAGCAGGAGGAGTTGTGGGGTGTGGCACAGAATCAAAATCTAAAAGCCGTTCTTCACCAAGCGGGTTTGGCAGTACTCACGACTCATGCAGCACTTGTGTTACAAAGTTCTGGAAAGACTTGCGAAGGAAAGAAATGAACAGGTCCTGACAATACCAGCAAAATAGGAGGAGGACAAGCAGGCCAGTTGAAGCGCGATTGCGACACAAAGTAGATCGGAGAGAGTTGGAGTTGACTATCACCGACTCATTCCAGTCCCACAACTACACCGGGCTTTGGGTATGAGTCTGCTTTCTGTATATGATTATTTCTGATTAATGATCAAACTTGGGCGGAGTCTCCACATGAAAACAGGGCAATTGATCGCTGAGGCAGTGCAAACAAGTTGTAGACTCAAACGAGTTGACTTATACTTGGACTTGCCGTCCAAGAGCCAAGAAAAACGTGTAGACCCTAGCAAGTTCTCCTTACCGATGTCACTTCGCGAAAAGGCAGCTTCACACTCCCCTTCTTCCCCCAAATCCCTCCCTCCGTTTGGGCTCGAGCCCCGCTTTCTGGATCGATCCCGGTAGCGCCGCCTTCAGAAGCTTCCTCGATGCAAGGAACATCTTTGGGCTTCCCATCATTGCTCAGCGCCAGACGCCCCACGCGAGCGCTAAAGGAGCGAGAGCCAGAACCCGAAGTGGAGCCTTTGAGGATGTCGAATTGGAAACCTCAGGCCAAACGGGAACAGTGATTGCTACGCTAGCAAGGGGTTGGAGAACTCCGATACCCACCAACCTTGTTGGGACCCCGCAAAACAACCACCCCAACTTGGTAAATAATACAAATAATATCAAATAATATATGCCCCCTGGAATGTCTGAGATACAATGTGTTACAGTGGTTTCAGAGTAGATGGCACAGACCTCAAGATGTCCTGAAAACATGGGGGTTCAAAAAAAAAACGACATTGGGGTCTGTGCCATTGGTCCTCTGAAACCACCTGGATTCTTAGGGACTGGTGGAAGTCACGTCACACCTGTTCGGTGGATCGGACCTAACAGGGAGAAGTGCGAGCAAGCTGATGGCAACCATCCCTCTAGGAATCCTCTGAGGAACGGTGATGTGTTCGACACTCGGTGATCTCTGTTCTGTGCCAGGGTCGGGTCCAATCGTACTGAACCTGAGAAGGCACAACTGGGTCACTATAGGGAATATGGATTTGGACTTGGAATTCCTGCTCCCACAAAAATAAACACATCCTCAGAATTAAATAATATAATAATATGAAGATAGACTGTGAGCCTGAGGAAAAAGCCACTCAAGGCAATCTATATAACTTGCCATTCGGACCCTGGCATCGAAACACCTACAGTTACGTAACACATGCCGCCCGTGTGCCGCTTTGGCCGCATCCAAGATGCTTCCATGCATGGACCCAAAGACCGTGTCCAAGCTTGTGCCACTCCTCAGATTGGCCAACGCTCGCTTCGACGAGTCTTCCGGCAGAGGTCCGATCAGTCCCCCGTGGGGGTCGGCACCGAGGCTGCACCGAGGGCCTAAGTTGGTGGTTCAATGACACCCTTTAATCTCTTGTCAGTGCTCTTATTGCGTGATAAATGCACAGCTCCTGCTAAAACTAGAAAAGCGCCAATGGCCGGGAAGTGCAATGCATCGTGGCTTGAGTGTAGATGGCACAATCCCCAAGTTTGGTTGTTTTGTACGAGCCCCATCAGTCATCTTGGGGGTGGGTTTGTGCCATCTACTCTGAAACCACTGCATGGGGCCGACTTCGTACCCTAGAAAACTGGGACATGAGCCTACAAAAAGAGCTGTTCAGTACTATAGATACTCCGTTTCCGAGGTACGAACGGAGACATCAGGTGTACCAGGGGCCAGGGGGCCCTTCATCACCTCATCCCCTTCACCTCTTGTGACGGTCGGGACCGCACGAGGCCGCGCGGCTCATAGCTCCATTCGCCCCCAGGGGGCAAGACCGGGGTGACGCCACGGGCGCCTGGGTGACCCGGGGCGGCGGGTTAGATTGGGTCGGACAGATCACCCAAAACTGGAAGAGTTGATCCTATATAGATAATGTGTGATGAATCAATTCGGGTCAAATTCTTTAGAAGATATTTCAGTTTCCATGGATTGTTGCGGGACAGTCTTATATATCTTATATGATGTGTTTGCCTATATTGACCCTAACAGACATGTCCAAACCCCTCCATGCAGGCTGCGGCAAATCTTCCATGTAGGCTTCGGATCTGATTGATACGTTTGGTCATCCCGAAAAAGACCCAAATGGGCACCCGTTTTTGGCGGAGGCAGTTTCGGTAGCGAAACGGGCACCCCAAAATATCCTCAGAGAGGAGTCTCAAAGTACCTCCGAAAAGTATAGGGTCACCCAGACACTCCATGCATGCCATATATGCCTACATTGACCCCTCAAACCACCCCAATTGATCGGCATATATACCATACATGGAGCGTCTGGGTCATGTAGTCATGTCCCATTTTCTAGGGTCCGGTTCGGGTCCGGTTCAGGTCCACATTGCTCGCGAAGTCAGTCTTCGCCCGATTGACCTCGCCTGGACCCTTTACCTCGGCGTTTAAGTTGCCCTTGGCGTCCACAAAGATCCAGTGGCGCGTGAGCATCTGAACCGTCTCCTACATGGCCCAAGTGTGGATGGAGGGCAGGCCACAGGGTATGGATGGTGCGTGTGAGTTACATTTGAGCCAAACAAAAGGACTCTCCTTGCCACTTGGCCATTGGGTGATTCAGCTAACTTACTTTGAGGTGGCGCTCGTGGAAGACGTTCATCTTCCAAAGCATGGTCTTGCGAAGTAGGTGTCCCTGAACTCTGTTCCACAGTTGGAGAGGGTACTTTTCTAGCATTTCTATCCTTCAGTGCTAGCTAGGCGTTGTTCCTTTCTTTTACATTCTTTTGCTGTACTGCTGTTTTTTCCTATACCATCACCTGCAAGTTTGTGTCTTTTCTCCTTTCTTTTGCATTTACTTGCAGGGGATGAGACATGCGAGCAACTATGTTTGTCGATAAAAGAGAAACCACAAAAAGGTCCAGAAACACTGCAACCACAGAGTGCCAACAGCAAAGCAGCCTCTCCACGGTTGGTGAAGGTCACAAAGTACTTCCAAACCTGAGCAGGTGTAAAAAAGAGAATCCGGAAAACATCAAAAAATGAACAAGAACGGTGTAAAGAAACAACAAAAAAACAGAGGTCTAAGGAAAAGGACACCATAACCAAGGGAGACATGTCAAACAAAAACCCTCTGAATAAAACGTAAACACACAAAATAACATAGAACAACAAAACAATGAACAACCTTTTAAACAATAGAGTATTCAATATAGTATAGCTTTAAACACAACATATAAAGAGAACATTTCTAGAGAACACATGATAAAACGAGCAAACCAGAACAAACACACAAACACAAAAAAAAGGTCTTAAACAGTAAACAAATACAAAAACAGAATACATGTCCAAAGAGAAACACACAAAACAAACACATGCATTCAAACACTAAAGACACACACAAAAAAAAACGGTGAAAAACAAATACACAAAAGAATAACAGTATGAAACATGTCTAACTTTTACTTAAAACACACAAACAAAAACAAAAACACAACATCTAAAGGAACAAACAAAGAAACACACAACATAAGAACGACCGACCAAAATAATGTCAAACATAAAACATGTGTTAAACACATATCAACATACTATTAATACAACAATACACATAAGCAAAGAGGAAGGCAAAAGCAAGAACTCAAGTGAACACTTGGCTCACAGTAGGTGACCTACTGTGACCCTTGTGTGGTGCTTTTGGGGGATTTGAGTCCTAAGAACGCTTTCCAAGGCCAATCCTGCAAGCTCTCTGTTGGTGGCCAAAAAAACACCAGGGCAAAAGTCACCAGACTGATCTGAACTAAAGGCCGAGACAAGCAGCCAATCCATGTTGCGAATACCACATCATCTGATAAGAAACATCCAAAAACAAGCACAGAAACTAAACTGCTTGATGCTCAGTTCACCTGGGAACTAAATTGGGCTTGTTTTGTGAAGTACACAGCTCTGGTCCTTTCAGCTTGTTGGACCCACTCCTCCGCGCTTTTTGGGATTCTGCTGAGGCTCATATTGGTTTCCCCCGAAGGCTCCTTGGAAGACAGACCTGGAAAGCGTGCGGCTGTCAAGCCAACTCGATCTATGCGTTGCTTTCTGTTATAGCCAACATGAGGTTCGTTCGTAACTGGAGAGTCGACCGGTTCGTACCTCGGAACAGCCCCCAGTCGTATAGGTAGACCTGTTTTCCTAGGGATCCAAGTAAGTAGCTTCTCAGGTACGGTGATTGGAGACTATTTAGGCTTGGAGGGCCCAAGTACCGTACCTTCAGAGAAGGTACAACTGGATCCCCAAAAAAGATGATAGGCTCCAAACATGGACGGGTTCATCGGGCCTCGTCCGGGTCCGACGACGACGGCGTTCACGCAAGAGACGGGGCACCTCGTATGGATCTCCACCATACCTCAACGCGACGAGCCAAGGCGGAGGTCCAGGGAAGGGATTTCCCTGCGATGGTCCATGTTGGACCGAGGAAGATGGAGATGTGACCAGGCAAGCAAGCAAGAGGAATTCCAAATATAGCTAGCATGACACACAAATCAACAAACATCATACATCCAACTATGCAACATGTCTGCGGAACTTGGATGGTTTTAGAGTTGAACAGGCATAGAATTTGCACAGTTGGACCTAGATGGTCCAGGTTTTTCGTACTGTCATTCTTTGAGTGTCTGCTTATGATTGAGACAAGCGTGGGGCTTGGAAGGCCACTGGTTGTCTGATATATTCGGCAAGAGGATAGGAAGAACTTGCGCTTATTGGTGCTTTCTCTTCTAAGAGCTCAATGCATCATCGAATGCAAGCTCTGGACCATCTCTTTTCCTCGGCACTTGTATGAACAAGCAACAACAAAAAAAGAACCTGAAGTCACCCAGGTTCAAAACACTCGTTCGGGATGGCCCCAATGCATCAAACTGGGATTGACTACGCTAAAAGATAGAATGGACACCTTCTGAGGCCAATTTGGATTGAAACTTGATGCAAAAAAACTTGTTTGCTCTGACAAGCATATGTACCTTTCAATTACCTGACCTTGGGCGGCGACAGGGTGAAACACTCCGCAACCGCGGGTAACACGCGCCTGGTGCCTCCTTTTGAGGCATCTCGAAGCATGAGGACATGATGCATGGCAAAGCAGGCCTTGGCCTGAACCCGACTTCAAGCACCTTGGAAAATGGGACATGACCCTCGACTGTACTCATTTTCAGAGGTACGAATTCTGTAAGCCAATTGGTCAAAAATCCTCAATAATCAAGTGCTGGTACTAGTGCTGATCTACCATACCAGAACTTGAGGTGTCTTCTACACATGCGCACGCATGCGCACCTGGGCCATCAGTGGTACAGGTGAACGCCCGGACATTCAACATGACAAGTCACTTGAGAATCTCAGGATGTTCGGTCAGATATAGTCTCTTAATGTCTCTTAGTTTATTTTGTTGTTGGTCACTTAGAAGATCTCTTTAGTCCCTGAATGTCGGTCACTTAGACACTCCGCTCATGAACTGAAGAGACCATCGCTGGCCCGACCGTGAGGTCGCTGAAGTTGGAAGGCTCGGTCCATTGAACTCAGTCCATTAGGACCCCGGTGTTTCTTGGGTATGGATGACTAGCAAAGAAGGCGTAGCCTTCCTGGCCCACCGAGATCCATTTATGGTCTGGCATCTCGAACAACCGGATTTGACACTACGAAACCAGGTCGTTCCCGGCTAGGGGAAGGCTTGGCCAAAATTTGTTGCTTCTTTGCACATGGTGACATGAAATGTACGTGTCCAGGTGTGATGACTCTTGGATCCGGATGAGGGAACAATTCAACCATGCAACATGTATGCCGCTTGGCAGGCGCAAATGTTGAACAGTTGGAAAATCTAGCATCCAGGTGATTTGTAAGCCTTCGGCAGGACTTTGTTGTACAGCAATCAGTGCCGACATCGAGCTTGAACATGGAGTTGATCCATTTATCAAATACTGTTCAATGGACTCAAAACACGGAGTTCAGGACACGGAGTTCAGGGGTTAAAAAAAACTGCTATAGGAAGAAACATATATTCCCCAGCAGGGGATTTAACCATAGGGAAAATGAAACAAAACATCACCTGCTGCGCAAAACCAAGCCTGTCAGGGTGAGCACGCTTCCTAAATCACCTCTTGGCGTACCTCTTCCTCCGTCCACACCATCGATTCCTCCATCCTGCAGGCTAATTGGGTGAAACGCTCAGAACATGATGGTCGCACCCTTCTTGTTCCTGGTCTTGCACTCCTCCTGGAGCAGTCGAACAGACCCGCCCTGCAACCAGGCTCCGAACGGCCTGGCCTAGCGAAAGTAACTCGGTGCGGAATGGGGTGGGTGTGGTGGTCTACCCTGTGAGGACGGGGGGGGCTGCTCTCTTCAGTTTCTAAACTCTTCAAACAAGGGTCGTATCAAAGTGAGAAAGGTGAAATAACTTGTTTACAGCGCTTCCCACACATCAAGTAATTCCATGAAGCTAACATAAGCTAACCATCACAACCTCACATAAACATGCAAAGTTACCTAAACACCTCCTACACATGGAGGAAACAACAATGGCACCTGTGACCCTCCTGTTACTCGGACCACATGGACCCCCAAATCCACTTGCAACAGTAGGGGAAAATGGTCGAAACTGTGCATTCTCAGGGTTCACTGGTTCATTCCCAGAAAAGATGAAACTGTCAATCAGACTGCCCTGAAAGCCAGGACCCTCCAAGGGGTGTCTATTTATAGCCCTTTAGCCTTTAGCTGTTCAGGAGTGTGAATTAACCACCCCTCGCAGGTCCTGGAATGGTTCATTCACTGCTTCATTATTCAACGGCGTCTTGGTTCATTGGATCATCTTCGCAAAGTTGTACCAGGACCACCCTGTCGGGGTGTCCTGTCATGAAGTGGTGCGCTAGGGGGCCCAGGTAGATCTTCTGTCAGATCCCCCGATGGTCTAATGGTCCAGGTAGATCTTCAGATCCCCCGATTGTCCCGTTGTGCACGGCTTTTCGCGTCCCGTTTTGACCCGGGTCCCACTGTGTTTTTTGGCGCCTGGAAGGCTAAGGTGCCGCGGATCTTCGCATCTGTGCGGCAGTCGATGACCAAGGGCAGCAACGCCAGGAAGGCCGTGAGCCCACCTTGATGGCCGGCTCAGGGGTTTAGGGTTTAGGCTTTAGGGTTTAGGTTTTGGAGTTTAGGGTTTAGGGTTTAGGTTTTTGGGTTTAGGTTTTGGAGTTTAGGTTTTGGAGTTTAGGTTTTGGAGTCAGGCTCCTTAGGAGTGTTGGACGTCGCTGGTTCCGTTTTGGGCTCCGCCGATGGAGCCGTTTGACGGACCCGGTGTGTAGCTGGGAGATCGACCTGGTTCCGACCGAGACACCGGTCGAACCGTTCCGACCCGAGCCCCGGTCGTTGGTAAGATGAAAAGCCATGGGTCCGGGCAGGTCTGGGTGGGTTCAATCCATGTCTGGAGGATACACTCTCTGGAACTAACAATGAGTGGAAAACCCCCTGTTCTCTAACCTGTTCAATCCCTGTTTTTCTCTAATCCAGGTCTTACTCTCTCTGGAACTAACAATGGTTCCGTGGAGTTCACCCCCTGTTGGTAGTGGATTTCATCGTCTTCCGAACTCGGGGCCAGGCCATGCACGTAACCGTGTGAGTTCCAGAAATGGAAGTGTTAGTTCCATGTTAGTTCACTTCCATGAAGGGTTAGTTCCACTTCCATGTTACTTCCATGTTAGTTCATCCACTTCCACTTCCAAGTTATGAAATACTAACTTCTATAGTAGGGATCCCCCTGCCACCGAGATCTCGTAGCCTCCCGGACCACCAGATCCTATGTGTTTCCTTCGACATCACCATGTCGGGTGGCAGTGGATCCAGCCTATGGAAGGTTCACTGCTTCTTAAAATCCACCATGTGGAGATGTTTTACATTGTTCTACCGAGCAGGCAGCGGGGGTTAGCTATGAATTTGATGTATCAACAGTCAAAATTGAGCCTATACCCAAGCCCATGCTTTTCGCAGGGGGCTGAGCTTCTGCCCGAATGCCGGACATCGCCCAGCGCCAATCCTGCGCACCAAAAACTGGCGCCCTTCCACAGTTCCGAAGTGAGGACTCCATGCAAACCCTGTATCTTTGGGCGACCTGTGCAAACTCTCATGGAACGTTGCTGTGCACTCACCCTAAGGATCCAGACCAGGGATTTGAGGGGGCCAAACCCCACCCCTACGAAGAGGTCGGGTCCAAGGATCCTTAGGGCAAACCCAAATGGCACAAGAGTAGGTTGGCTCATTGCAAACATATCTATCAAATCAATCTATCTCATTCTATCTCAATCTCCAGGACAAGAGTGGCAGCAGACCCGGGTCTCTCAGATTTTATTGGATTTTCTTTCTATATTTTCCCTATCAATACCCTCCGACTCACTAACATGGAAGTGGACAACGGACCCCTTGGAACACGCTGTTCCGAACAGGGTGGAACCCCCCCACTTCCACCATGTGATGAACCCACTTCCATCGGTTTTGTTCACATCTGTTCACATCTGCGCGATGTAACACAAGCGCGCCTTGGGCATTCCCGGTGGGTCCGAACCAGCGGAACATGGTGGAACGGGCGGCGCATTCACCAGATGGGTCAGGTGGGTGAGAACACCAGCGCAGTCACGGTGAAGGCAAGCGAGACGGACTCTGCCCCTCAAAGGTGTTTACCACAAAGGGATGTATACAAGGGTCGTTTTATTTCAAGATGTTTTTTGTTTGCCAACTTCAATGTGGTTGATGTTTGTTGATGTTGGCCATCACTTGCATCTCTTGGACGAAAACTCACGTCCCACCTACGAAGACTCACGTCGTCCGTGTTTTTCATCATGGCACTTGGGTCCTTCTGGGGCGTCATCGCGGCACTTTCCTTCGTGCCAAGACACAGAAGATCAATCCCACCAATTGAAGTGTGTCCCTCAGTGTTTTTCGGCGCGGTCAAATGGGTGAGACCCGCATGGGGGTCAAGTCTGGCTGGGAAGGCGAGGCAGGTCTCAACTGGTGGGAGGGTTCATCGACTCAGACGTCTGTGGGGTTCCTCGAAGTGAAACGAAGGTCATCCTCATTCTCCGTGCCTGTTGGGCTTGAATGAATGAATCTTAAGGTGGTAGACATGAGGTCATTGTTTGGATCTGGGAGGGGGGTGAAGTCAACAGGATTTCTCCCCAACAACTGGACTTCTAGACCTATATAGCCTTCTGATTCTAGACATGACAATATAAGGCCCCTTCCACACCTCAAAACCTTTCGAGAACGTTCCGCACCTTGCTGAGAAACATGTTCAGTCAAATACGAGTGCGTAGCCCGGCATCGGGTGCGTAGCCCGGCAAAAACCTGGTTAGGACCATGGTAGGACCCAAA